TAAAAGAATAATTATCTAACACATGTGTATTTATAATAGTGAAAATACCTAAGCAGAGGGAAGTCACATTAAATTAAAACAAATGTCCTCAGTCTTGCACAGTGTTTATTCCCTATACTAGTTTGTCTTTTTACAATTATTTTTCACTTTATGTGTTACTCTCTGCTGTGGACTCTGCTCCCTGCTCCTCATACCATGTCTTTCCTTCTCTTTTTACTCTTTGTCTGTCTTCATCCTACTGCCCATCCCCCACTCTCTTCAGCTGCCTTCTCCCCCTCCTAATCTCTTTCTTTTGTTTCTCTCTTTCTTTCCTCCCCTTCCTCCAACTTCTACTTTTCTGTCCCCCCCCTCTGTTTTTCTTTTTCTTTTAAGACTAAGCCAATTTCCATTTCCCCTCTAGTATTTAGTCCATCCTTTAGCTCTAGCGAGCTATCCATCAAAGGACAAAGATCTTACTAATTATGTAATTTTCTCCTCACAACACCTCATTCCACTAGCTCTACATCTGTATTTTTTTTTTCTGAAGACTAACTGCTTGAAATGGCTGCCCACACTCCACAGAGTATACACATTTAAAGTTTTATTTGAAAGGCAAGGATAGAGTACAGCAAGTAGAAACAGGGAAAGACTCTCATGGGCCCAATTTGCACAGACAACGTCTGATCTTCGCTGTCAACCAACATCTGAGTGAAGCAGCTCAGTGAAATTCTTACTGAACTTCAAGACAAGCTAGGGGATTGTTTGGGACAGGTGAAAACTCCCAGTGAAGGTAATGATTTCAGGGCTTGCTAAGGGAATTGTCCTGAGCATCACACATTCCAGGGATCCTATTATGGCTAAGAATCAAGTGGTAGCCTTCCCAGAATCTGTGTCAAGAATGAAATTCTCCAACTGAATTGTAAGCCAATTTTCTCTATACAACCTCTAGCAATGGATCTTTCAACTGACTTGAAATGAATCATTTATATGCCAAATATTCCCACAGATTTGGTTGTGATCTAATATTAGACCATTTTGCTCCATTGTAAATATACTTTTTAAAATCATATACTAGACGTATTTCATCTTCACTATTATTATCTGATGATGTCAGATCTAGTGTTTTTCCTCAGTAAACTTTATTTTAAAATTCAGTGCTAACTATGTGATCACTGTTCTATCACTGCCTCATTTTACTGATAGTTTAGAAGTTAAAATGTGACAATTACCCCATATTTGCTATCATTTTCCAAACTTGAGGGCATAGTAATAGGTTTTAGAGCAAAACATAAATTAAATACTGATTTTTCTGATATTAATGGTTGTTCACAATTCAGAAATGTTTATCAAAAATAACTAACTATATATACTTAAATCATTTTAAGCAATGAACTAGACTTCAAATAAAATTTTAACATTACTTTATGTCTATCATTGGATAAAATGAATGTGTTAAATTCTGTATGTTTTGAGATCTAAAAATAGTTTTTATTAAATGTCAGTTTGGGTTGATCAATCTTCATCAACGAGAAAGTAAATTTTATTGCAAGTAACCATAACAGATATTAATGAAAATTTAGATGTGACTTAAGTTTATCTTTCATAAGAAAGAGAACAAAAAGATTAAATGAGTTGAGATTGAGTGTAGATATAATTTCAAACAGACCTGATCTGACTACTGGAATGTAATCACTTTATCCAGATTACTATGGATATTTATATTAATGAATTAATTCACAGTATACACTGCACTGACATCATATTTCACATGATATTATACGAGATCAATTATACAAAAATGACATAGATGTAATTCACAACAGTAAGATATATGCTTCCTTATCAAAAGAAGATTTATTCTAATAATTAAATTTAAAATGAATAACTCGATATCTTCTTTGAGTAATTAGAATAAGGTTTGCATTATGATTCCCGAGTCATTTCACATTTTGGGTTTTTTTTTTTTTTCAATGTTTCCATGTAATGAGACCAGTCTTGTGCTACTGAACTCATCAGAAGACCCAAAGATAAAACATAACTTCTTTGTTCATAGAAGTTATAATACATAGGTGTTAAATATCAACCCAGTCCATCCAATCTTACAATAATGGACTGGTATGTATTATGTAACTTTCTAAAGTGATCACAAAATGTAAAATGTAAACATAAGCAAAAAATGGAACTGGCGTGCTGGCTTAGTAGTTCCCAGCACTGGCTATACTTTCAGAGGACTTATCTACAATCCCTAGCACCTACATGGTGGATTACTATTATCTTTAACTTCATTCCAAAGATGCCCAATGCAGTCGTATGGCCTATGCGTGCAAATTAATCAGTAAACATTTATAACTAAAAGAATGGGAAACAAATTCTTTGAGGCTTTTGACATCTGCTCTATTTGAAAAAGCCTATTTAGAATTTACATTTTTAGCTGCAAATAAAATTCACAACATTTTATCTTGATAATCACCATAAATGAAAAATAGGAATTTGTTAAAGTACGAAAAGCTAGGCCAGAGACATGGCTCAGTAAATGAACTTTCTTACCACCCATCCTGATGTCAGGAATTTGGTCTCTGAGACACACATAGTGGAAGAAGAAAACCGACTCCTTTCGGTTGTCTGCTGCCATCCATCCTCACTGCATGGCATGAGTGTATGAGCAAGCATAGATAAACAAATAAATGTAATGAAAATAAAAACTATATTGGTGGAGCTGGGAGATGTGAATTTGTATTATGTCCCCCCAAAAAATGGAAGAAAAAAAACAAACCAATTAAAACAGCAAAAGACAATACCATGATATGTTTTTGTTTTTTTTTTTTTTTTTTTCTGGTATCACATTAATCTGAGCAGCCTAGTAATTGATCTTCAGAATGTGGTATTAAATTCGCAGTGAGACTACTCGTCTGTTGGTTTACACTGTAACATAAGAACGGACATTTCCTTATCAAAATCTATGTGATGGAAAACATAAGTAGTAATACTTTTCCAACCTGGAAAGTTTATTGAAAATACAATTATGACAAATATTGAACAGCCTCTTTCAGTTAGCAGCAACATCAGAGAACTAGAAAGCTCTCTTCTATCACAGAAGTGTTTCTATCTAAAAACATAATGGAGAGGTGTCTGTTAATACATTTGTTTTCTGTAGTGTGATAAAATATGTATTGCTACAATAAAAATAATTTAGCCATTCTTTCAACTTCATTTAAAAATTGGAAAAGGTAAGCCAATTATGCCAACAAAATGCTACCTTCATCGGAGTAGTGTCTTTACGCAGTGGATGGTACTGTTTACAGACCCCCAAACTGGTGAAGTCCAGAGAATAAGTGACAGTAGAATGCAGTCAACCTTCATGGGACATCTCCATCGTACTTCTACTCCCAAGGCCTCAGGAAAACCACAGGAGTAGGGCAGAAAAGTTCTAAGTCACAGACTGGGCAAGATTACTGCAAACTACTATCTTCTGGTCCTGACAGGACTGTTGCACTGCCGAATTCATACAAACTGATTACCAGCCAGAAGAAAAAAGAAAGGACACTGTAATTCTGTGCTTAATTCTAAGACAAGAGCACAATACCCAGGACAGAGATGTGAAAAGCAAAAAAAGAGGCAAAGAATTGGTTATCAAATGCATGCAAAACAAACCCTGAAAACATGCATCCAATTGACATGTGAACTGAACAGGTTATAAATAGAAATATATAAGTATTGTATACATATATATGCATAAAATAACAATTAATGAAAAATGGTATTAATATGAAGGAAAGTGGGGAGAGGTATATGGGGGATTTGGAATGAGAAAAGGGAAGGGGATCTTGTTATTATGTTGTAATATAAAATAAAAAAGAATTAAAGAGCACAAACTGTGACATGCCTCATTTAATGTTCACTTCCAAGACACAAATTTAAAGTAGTAGGTTACAGGGTGAAAAAAATATTGTGTCTATAATTACAACAGAAAGGAAATGGCATATAAAGAGTGAAATGAATATGCCCATAAAATTAAGAGTATCTATAAAAGTCCATCTTTAGGGATACTAGTAATTATTATTATGCTATTTAATGTAAGAGCATGATCCCTATACCAACCCTCATAAAGGCAAAAATGTGAGGTACTGTGTTTAGTTACTAAGGGGCATATCAGTTATTTTCTTCATTGCAAATGCGATAGTGCTTTATCAATGCAGACCTGAACACGACTCTAGAGATATGCAATTATAATCAAATATCAACTCTCTACTTCATTCCATATATATGTATGGTAATCAATCTATTAAGTATTTATTTTACAAGTATTACTTTATCATATCCACTTTAAGGGCATGAAGATGTGCCTTGAGTCCCAGCTCCAGCTTTGAAACTGAGGTAGTTCTATGGAAGTCTGTGACTTGTTTACTGCAAACACTGCATTTCAGCCACAGTTTCAACATGACCAGAATGTGCAGCGTGTACAATTTTGCAACGTAATTAGTTCGAAATTGAGGAAGCTTAATTTTAAAATTGAATTGTTCATGAAAATCTATTTTCATACTCTATAGCTGAAGCAGTTTCTCTTCATAAAATGTTTTATAGTTGTTTGAAGAAATTAAGTGTAGTTAATCAGAAAGAACATTATGGTTTGACACCTAATTTGAAAGCCCTGTCTTGAAACAGTGAATGATGGCCTATGGAATTACATAGACCAATAAGAACCCGAATAGGAAATCCATTTATGCTGAAAGTAGATTTCAGTATGGATTAAGTCAGTGCTGCTGTGTCTTTGTGTGAGACATATTTCATGCGGTATATGTGTTCGCTAAAATACACAATTCACTGTTTAACAGATTGGGAAACACTACACTAATAACATGGTGAATTATCCTATTATGCACATGAAAAGCTATCGCTGACCCTAATTCTCTGTGAAAACAGAAAGTAACTATGGAGAACCAAAGCACTAAAAGATAGTGGCAAAATATTGGTGATGCACTGTTCTGGTTGCATCTCTTTACTCTGTGTCTTTCCTCCTTCAGTTCCACCAGCAATTGTGATGCCCCAGAAGTCCTTCAACGCTACTGCAGAGAGAGGAGAAGAGATGACCTTAACCTGCAGGGCCTCAGGCTCTCCAGATCCTACCATCTCTTGGTTTAGGTAAGTGAAGGTCCCATGTCTTCTGTGTAGTGCTCATAAGGCTCACAGAGGAATATTTTAAATTGTAATTATTTGGAAAGAAACAAACATTGTCTAGTCTCATTTTAAATAAAGGTTATCTAACACCAAATGATCATCCTTGAGAACACACATACAAGTAACATTTTATAGACTGAGTGGATTTTATTTTGGAATATATGTATACATAAACATATGTATGTAAAAAATATGGCTTTGGCTCCTTTTTTGTTTGTTTTCTTTTGTCCTGTTCTAGTTTGCTTATATTTTATTTTATTTTATGTTTTAGACACCTTTTTGTTTTCTAAGGAGAAAGAGGAACAAAGGATTTGAATTTTGATGAGAGAAGATGTAGGGAGGATCTGGGAGGAGTTTGGGGTAGGGAAACCAAAATCAAACCATATTGTATGAAAAAAAATGATTTCAATAAAATAAAAAGAAAAGCAAAAGAACAAGGAGGTTCATATGGGAGATTTTAGAAGAAGAATAGGTTAGGGGATGATGTAATTGTTTCATAGCTCATAAATAATAGAAATAATAAAAAATGGTTCTTAAAAATAATTCAGTGTGTGTGTGTGTGTGTGTGTGTGTGTGTGTGTGTGTGTGTGTGTGTGACAGTACAAGTATATACAGACCTTGGCATGTTTATGGATGTCAAAGAACAACTTTCAAATGCTGGTTCTTGCCTTTCACTGTGGGATCTGGAATGAACCTAGGTTTGCAAACTTGTGAGTACTTTGATCCAATGAGGCATCTTGCCTTCTAAGGTGCTATTTGTCATTGGCTAAATAGATTAGATTGCATAGACAGAGTGCAGCATGTGAATGGACTGTAATGTTCCTGAGTGAAATACTGGCAGAGAATGTTTACTGGGGTTTCAGAGTTATCTTTTGTTCAATGTTGGCTCTGCAGCCTTACTGCTGATTGAATCTCTGTGTCTTTGCTGGAATACAGTCTGTATTAAAATGGATAATGGATATTTTAGCAGTACTGTTTGGATGCAAAATCACTTATTATATGAAAATAACTACATGTTCTCTTTTTGTACTAATTTATTTTTATTTATTTTTGGTTTTTGTTGTTTTGTCAAGACAGAGTTTCTCTGTGTTGTTTTGGTGCCTGTCCTGGATCTCGTTCTGTCAACCAGGCTGGCCTCAAAATCACAGAAATCTGTCTGGCTCTCCCTCCAGAGTGCTGGGATTTAAGGCATGTGCCACCACTGCCTGGGTTTGTACTATATTAAAAAGTTATATAGATGACATTTTAAGAACATGACTGCTCCTAGGAATGGTGGAGGAGAAAGTTTATTATAGATATTGCAGAAAGCAGAGTCAGAGGCAGGGATATCTGGAAGAGTCCATAGTGGACATTACTAGATTGAGCTGGGTCATGTGGGAGAGGGAAAGGGGAAGGAAGAGAGGAGACAGGGCAGAGGAGAACGAGGTACAGCAGCCAGGAGGCCAGAGGTCCAAAAGGGAAGAGCCATGTGATCAAAATGTCTGGATTATATAGGGAGGAACCTTTGGGGGAAGGGCAGCCCAACCCCTTAACTGGAAAATTCAGACCAGAGGGTAGGGTATGCAAACCATACCCTGTAACAGGTAGGAACTGAGGGATGCTGGAAGAACATGGTGGCCAGTTCCAGCTTTCGTATGTTAAATAGATGCCTCAGCTGTTTGTTCTGGGTTTGAAACTTAACAACTATATTTGGTATATGCAATGATAAGATTGGCAATATTTATACTTTGTAATTTATTTCAAAAACAATTAATATCCACAACTATTCTTCACTGCTTTCTATTTAACATATTTTGATAATATGATTTCAGATCTTTATCTTGTTTATGATTTTAGCACAGAAGGATTCTATAAACAAAGTGATTGGAATTGATCTATGCAGATATTAATTCTTGGTAATAGTATTTTACTGGGATTGCCCATCTGACATTAGCATACTAACCCCAAGCAATCATCATGTATCTAAGTGAGTACTATATTCCCAATAATTCCTTAAGGGTTCATAGTACACCTAATTGAGTCACAGAAAAGTTCTATGTCATTCAGCCCAAGAACAAATAATGATCATTGACCTTAAAGATTATATATGTCCAGAGATATTTAGCTCCCGTTAGACCTTTTAATTTATTCAAACTTATTTTCTTTTTTCTTTTTTTTTTAATCTGTGGTGTTACAGTTGTGCTAGAGCTATGATATGAAACTCTGTATTATAAAGTCAGAAGCAACTTGTCAGAATTTTAGAATGAAATAAATAGGAAAGCACAAGAACACTTTGGTTTTTTTTATTTAATGTTTTTATTTTATAATTAACTTAATTACTCGTATCAGCCACGGATTTCCCCGTCCTCCCTTCTTCCAACCCCCAGCCCTCTCCCCTATTCTACCCCCCATTCCCACCTCTTCCAAGACAAGGTCTTCCCTGGGGAGTCAGCCCAGCCTGGTAGACTCAGCCTAGGCAGGTCCAGTCTCCTCCTTCCTACACAAAAGCTGAGCAAAGTGTCCTAGCATAGGCCCCAGGCTCTAATAAGTCAGCCCATGCACCAAGGACAGGTACTGGCTCCACTGCCTGGGGGCCTCCCATACAGTTCAAGGTAATCAACTGTCTCACTTATCCAGAGGGCCTGGTCCAGTTCCATGGGGACTCCTCAGCCATTGGTTCACAGTTCATGCATTTCCACTACTCAAATTTATTTTCTTATGCTTTTTGGAAATAAAATTATCATAAGAACTAAAATAAATCAAATCCAGAATATGTTTATTTTTCCAGATTTATATCTATGGTTTCTCATCTGTATCCCTTTAAATGCCATTTTTTGGTGATAATGGAGAGTGCTTAGAATCCAAATAGATTTTCTTGGTGTCTGATTTAAAAAAAAAAAAGAAAAAAGTTTTGGGAGAATAGGATTGTATTATTGTAACATTTGTAGAGATATATTTACTTTTACTGAAAAGCTTTTATTTGATCCCATTTGTCTGTAGATATAACATATCAAAATTATGAAAATAAATTCTTGTAAGCACTGGGGAATAGAGTTATTTGCACTTGGGGATTCAGACAACCTGATGAGAAGAGATGGTACATACAAGTGATATGATGAGAGTCCGCTGATTTAGTAACCACAGGCTGCTGTAAAACAACAACAACAAAACAATACATTAGGTAGCTAAAATAGCAGAAATGTATTTCTCCACATTTCTGGAGGCTGGGTATCCAAGAACAATGTACCACTGGGACTGGTTTCTGATGAGGACTATCTTCCTGGCATCCTGATGTCCACCTCCTTTACTTTATCCTATCATATCCTTTTACTGCATATAAATGCTGCTTTTATTTAAGAATATAGGTTCCATGAGATAGAGAGATGGTGGAGGTATGACAACTTAAGTTGTATGCCCACAATCCACATAACAGATAGATGTTTGCACTTTTGTTCTTGTAATACCAGTGCTGGAGAGGAGAAAAAATGCTATGTGGATTTATGGAGTTCAGTGGTCAGTCAGACATCACACACACTATCCATCAAATGCGGGTGTCACTTACTCAAACACAAACTTGTTTTATTTCTTTAATTTTTGAAGTCTCTGTCTCCAAATTAATTCACCTAATATGTTAGAGAGCCAATATTCATGTGGATACGGGAACATGCTTTATATGTTATACAAATATAGAAGGTACCAAAGTTGGAATGTTGTGATAGTTTTCACAAAGCAAACAGCAGTAACTAGGGACATGTAAACTTAAGACAGCACAAATACAGAGGAAACATCCCTCTATAAGTTCTTTTAGAACACATTTTCAGGTTAATCAGAACTACAGAGTATTTGTTTTGAGAGAGAGAAAGAAAATGAAGTTGGGTGAATAAGGAGGTTCAGAAGTTCAGGGAAGAGTTGGGGAGGGAGAGAGTAGATCAAAATATATTGCATGAAAAAATTAAAGTAAAAATAAATACTCTGTAGAATAATATTATAATTTAGTCAATTAATTAGGTGAATTCTATTGGTTTTTCAAAGTAAATACCACAAAGCATTCTTTTCAAACTCAGATATTCTTATATGTTGGAGAGCATCTCTAGTCAGATGTGGGGTTGGTGAAAATCTTTTCCCATGCTTTAGGCTGCCATTTTGTCCTATTGACACTGTCCTTAGCCTTACAGAAGCTTTTCAGTTTCATGAGGTCCCACTTATTAATTGACAATCTCAGTTTCTGTGCTGAAGGTGTTCTGTTCAGGAAATTGTCTCTTGTGCCAATGTGCTTAAGTCTATTTTCCACTTTCTGTTCTGTCAGGTTCACTGTAACCGGATTTATGTTGAGGTCTTTGACACACTTGGTTTTGAGTTTTGTGCAGGGTGATAGATATGGATCTATTTGTATTTTTCTACATGATGATATCCAGAATTGCCAGCACTAATTTGTTGAAGATGCTTTCTTTTGTCCATTGTAGAATTTTATCTTCTTTGTCAAAAATTCTGGTGTTCATAGGTGTGTGGATTTATGTTTGGGTCTTTGATTTGATTCTGTTTTTATGTCAAATCCATGCTATTTTTTTTTTATTACTATGGCTATTCAGTAGAGCATGAGATCAGGGATGGTGATATCTCCAGTGGTTCTTTTATTGTACAGAATTGTTTTAGCTATCCTGGATTTTCTCATAAACAACAATAACAACAACAGATAATCCAATTTTAAAAAGGGGTACAAACAGAGAATTCTCAACAGAAACACTTAAAGAAATGTTCAATGTTGCTAGAGTTTTCCTGCCTGGCCCACAGTCAGGACAGATCTCTCTCACCTGCTAGTCCCAAGCCGCTCAAACCCGATCAAGTAAACACAGACACTTATATTGGTTTCAAACTGTATGGCCGTGGCAGGCTTCTTGCTAACTCTTCTTACAGCTTAAATTAATCCATTTCTATTAATCTATACCTTGCCACGTGGCTTGTGACTTACTGGTACTTTACATCTT